CACTTTATATAAGTGGAAATATACACAAAAGCGTGCATTAGTAGTTGTTCAAGCGTGACTGAGCAGGCACGGTACACGCTATTAGAACTATATGCGATTATTACAGCATTGTTGTAAACTGCCGCAATCGATTTGTCAGGCACAAACCAAAGCCTCCCATTAGCAGACTGATTATTTCAAGTACCTAACGTCGTAGCGACAGGACGACAAAATTGTCTAGTTAATCCTATCTGCTTACGCGCAACCTATCTTGTTTTAACACTCAGTTATATAGGTTAAACATTTTTGTACACATACGTGTTTTAAGCGTACGTGATTAGATACATTAGAAATAGGTGATTTTGAATATTCGCCATACAATCTTTAATCCGCAATGTTCATATTCGTGGAAAAGCACGATAAAGTGGAGAAATGAGATTTATCATCGTGCTACGATCGGTCTGCTTGTGCTGCATTAAACAAATACTTTAGGCGTTTCATCAAAACATAGATATTGTCCACGCTCTATTATCACAACATCTTTTTTCCAGTGTACGAATGGAAATCATTTAAAAGACACAGAAAAAGTGACTTGTTCAGTCAGACATGTAATCAGATACTGCTCCGATGGTACCGACTCCGTTAGCACAGAGAGAGCTAAGACCCACCAACATGGAAGCTGTGCAGTGCGGATCTCGAAGTGGTCGCATGTACGGACGAGCAAACTGTACCTTCGCTCATTTAGCGCTGATAGTGATGTGCGCGTTCATCTTTATGTTGTCGCCAGCTGCTTGGTCCTATCGAAATTTATTGCCTAAGTACTGTCGCCATAAATGAAGTAGAGGTAGACAGTAACGCTATTATTATTATTATTATTACCATTGGTGTAACAGAAAAGGTCTTCTCGCTGTCCAAGTTTTTTTTTTCGCCTAATAGAACGACTAGCTTCAAAATCGGATCGGATAGCCTCGGCGGTGATACTACCAAGAGTCCTTGGAACAAATGTCGTCTTCGGAAATGTGTACAATTATACGTGATATGACTATGAAACTGAAAATACTGTACAGAAATTATTCTCAAAAATGTCAATTTCAAATACGAAGCGAAAGCCATACTCAAACGAGCGATGATAGGGTAAAAGTTACGCAAGAAATTGCAAACAATGGTCAGGAGTGTCTCCTAACACCTAAAGATAATCTGCATTCGATGGGTTCCTTTGTTTCAATTCAACAATATGCTCGTAAAACAACAAAGCTAGTCAAACCTAAAGAACAAGAGTTATTAAAATGTTAAATAAAATTATGAGAAAATAGGTTACTCTTGCAATGCACCTGTGATTTCCTGTTAGTTAAGACACACGATAACAAGAACACAGTTTAATACAATTGTATTCCGACGAAAATATAGTGGTTATCAAATGCTCTCATCCTCACACATGCATGACCAACGAATAATGTCTTCCAGCAAATTTAGCTGAAAAAGCTCGAAAGAACGTTTGCCCTTCGATTGAATACTTTGACCACCGTCAATTTGGGAAACAAAGACGGGAACAAGCCGTATTACCAAATGTTAAGTGTATGACGTTCTCCCCCAATGTTCTATTCTTAGAAATCGAGTTTTTTTTCCTTCTCCTACTTCAGCCAAGTCCTACTTCAGGACTACTTCAGCCAAATGCAGTGCACCTCCAGGAGTTCTACGTAACATGAGCATATATGGGTTTAATCTAATCACCCATCTCTATAATATATTAATATTAAGAATATTTACGATGATCACTGAAAAATAAACCAGCACTTAGGCTGGTGTAGTATCCGACACATTCTCAACGACGAATAGACTGCCTGTTGGCATACTGTAACATATCGTTCACGGATAATGCAAGCATGAATTTACTGTGAATGCAATAAGCATCCAGATCATACAAAACGGCATTAAGCCTAGTTTACTACTGTTTTTCGGCGACCACAACCAATGAAAAAGGTTATCATTATAGGCAATCCTAACAATCATCAAAACAGCCCTAAATTCCCCTGCCGGTCGTCAACGCGCTCGAAGAGCTAGGTGCAGGCATCACCTTTCTGACACGACGATAAAGTCGAATTGTGTACCACACGCAATTTCCACTTCACGCGACTGTGATGTCTACTCGCAGTTAGAAAGACCGCCCCTTCGGGCGTCCTGATGCCTGCCTGTCCATATTCAGTGGTCCACTGATTCTAAACTACAGGTTTAGAAATCATTCAATTTAATGAACGCACATTCACAGCGTCGTTTTTGTTCTCTTTTGAATTCGTCTCAAACTCAATCATGGCCACATCAACTTCGTATCTCCTACGAAATTTTTTACTAGTGCTGATCCAATCGCATAAGTTTCTCAATCACGGAACTTCTCTCAAGCCACCACAGAACAACTGACATTGATAACTACCATTAGAGCACAGCTTGGCCAAGGATAAACAATTATGAGAAATTGAAGTCACGAGCAGCGGAAGCCCAGTCATGGTCAACTACGCTGCATACTGTAGCCGCAAATAAAACGAAGGTATAGTGCACCCACAAATATTCAAATATAATCAAAGGCGCGCAGTACTCGTCATTGAGTGATCTGCCCACGTTATAGCTGAAATGTTATTTTTTGTTAATAACATTCACATTTGTATGGCCTGTACTACTTACTTGAACAGGCTGGGAACCTAGTAGGGCGCCGCCTAGCGAAAGAGCGAAAAATTTCACTGTAGCGAACATCTCGTTTGACTTACATACTCTACATGCGGACGGAGAATTTTGCTTGTTATTGGCAAGTCACCTTTTGGCCTATAAGCCAACGGGTACCAATCATTAATGATGAGATCGAAAAATAGTTTGTTAAAGGACTTGTCTTATAGCTACTTTTATGTGCTTATTTCTAATAGCTACTTTTTAGTCACACTGGAATCACTGTAACACGCTAGTATAGAAATAACCGAATCTGTAACTACATGTTTGCATATTTACCGTAGCTCGTCTTCAGAAACTGAGTACACATAGTATATCAGTAATATATTGTTTCACGGCAAAGTACGTTACTTGAATTTTTCTGAGGATATGATAGATAAATTACCGAAGGTGAAAACCGAGCCAAGCAGATGAAGACATTGTGTAAAGTACTGTCAAAGCCCCCAACGAATTTCGCGTTGGTCGAAGCCAAAGCGCCGGTCAATAAACTGATGCCTAGGAAGGATTTGTATCGTTCTACACGAAGCTCATGGCTTTCCTACATTACTTTACGTGGTTAGCAGAAATAATTGAAAATCAAAATACATCGGGATCGCAACAATGGGGCGGAAGCGTTTAGTTGACTATACCTCCGTGGTCTCTCCAGCCTTTTCCTAGACCCAGTACTTTTCCAATGACTAGCTTTGATGGGGACTTCGTTGTTGTGCTTGCGTTAAAAATTTTGTAGTAGTGACTTTGGCTACTACAATATTGTAAACTATTCCATCGGCTATTACAATATTGTAAACTATTTCATAATTTTTTGCTCAACTGTTTCATTCTCCTACCGGTAATACACCGCTGTGAAGCGGTGCAGTTATGCTGAGACTCTGTATTTTAATAGCCCGTATAACAAAACCCGCTTGCTTTGCGCGGCTGTCGAATTGCTGCTTAGGAACCCAATCACTACTCAAATAACAGAAGACACCAGAATAAGAGGGGTACTTTGTTTTACGTCTCAAAAGTGATTTTTTTTTTTCAACTTTATTAATACTCTACGGAACATCTCAAGCAATTATTTTTTTGCAATATGCTTCGTTGTCTGTTGGACTTCGTCTAGCGATTTATTAGAGGTGCGTCCATTATCTGACATCTGACCTATATCGTCATTAATGAACTACCCTTGCTACCTCAACTCCCCCGCTAAAGATCTGGTTGAGCGCGAGCGCAATGGGAGCTCTAATAATAGTCACTATGGAAGCTTATCCCATAAGACTACTGGATAGTTTACGATATATGACTGATGTATGAATGGAAAAAGTATTCAACACAAAATGTAGGGCCACCGCCTTAGCAAACAGTTGATAGACTGATAAACACCGACCGCCTTAGCAAACAGTTGATAGACTGATAAACACCGGACATCGGTGACTTGAGTATGATCACTGTATATAACTTTACATTTCAAGCACAAGCGACTAGAATTGATAGTCACCCAGTTCCAACAGTTAGCTATAGATAGATACAACCTGCCTATCTAAAGCCGTGAGGCCGAAAAACGAATCAATGCGCAGATCTCCCCATCTTGCACGGAATCATCTTCATCCGATTTCTTTATACTAATGCTACGCGGGTAGATTGCAGCGGGTCGAACAATCGGAAAACGATAACGTTGTCAGCACTGCATTTGGCTACGCCGCTCTGAAGTATAGATATCACAGCGACAAGGCGAACTTTACGGAGTGCTCATTATTTTTATTTTACACCAAACAACACTCGATTGATCCCTATATCCATTGACTCGACATTTACAGAATTGCCAAACTATCGGTTTAATCAGAACAGTACCCGTATTGAGTAATTTCGGCGTACCACCTAATGAGAACCTTTTTACATGTTTGCGCGTATTCCAGTGTGTAATAATTCATTCAGACCCCTTCAGAGCATACCATATAGCATTTGTTAGCATGCAGCTTTTCTGCCCATCCACAAACCACGAACAATAAACACCCCCCGAGGGTGCTCGGTTGAGTGAATTCCTGCTCATACTCTGCAGTAGTAGCCTCTGCCGATTTCGGACCGCCTGATAGGCTGGTAGACAGTGCTGATAATCACCTTCAGTACCAGTGACGGAGTTCAGCACTTCGGACATTCAGAGAGAAGCAGACACACAACCCCAGCGAGGGACCGCGTAACCTACGTATAGCTCAACCCCACGAAGACCAGTGTTCTCCTTGATCTCGTGAAAGCATTATGCCTGCCCCACACTCCATTATTGGCGCTGGCGCCGGCAAAAAATGACAAATTGAGCTCAAATTTAGGCCTACCTTGCAATTTTCTCCGATCAGCCATGGTTAGATTCGTCGGAAGCTGGCTTCGAGCATTTCACACGATCGGCGGGAGTCGATGGTCCCGCGATGGCTGGTTGGTTCGTTAGTATTTTTTTTTCGTGGGCAGACCGTCGCTGCAATTGCGACCAAATCTTTGTTCTTGTCGTTGTGCTTATTCCGGTTGTGTTTATCCTGATTCTCGTTCTCCTCGCAATCGCTGTCCCTGGTTTGTTCTTGACGTCTCGATCTCGCTCCAGCGCAGGTGCCGCTGTAAAGCCTTTTTTGCTGTCAAACCAACAATCGTTTCCGGTGGCGATCGGTAATCTCTTCGTTCGATATTGAGAGGTCCTAACAGTTCCCGGTGCAGTTAATCTGCTAACAGGACCGGTAATAGCAGTCGTGAGATAACAGGAGCCTCGAATGCCCCTGTAGTCGCTGCTGTATCTGCCTATGCAACTGCTAACTGCAACTCTAATTCGTAACGCTGCTGATGTTGCCGCCACCTCTGCACGCGCCGTACAAACACGAACTGTTCCTGGCAGGTTGTCCGTGTTGATCGGAGGGGGTTCCGATGGCGTACCCTGTAAGACAGATCGTGAGTACTTAGGTCGGATTTAGCCTGGACTGCCCGCAGCGACGACTGGTATTACGTGACTTAACGCACGTTCGCAGCGCGTTAGCTAGTTAACTAAGCTAGTTGGTAAAACTGGATAAGGAGCTGCGGCCGCGACTTAACTGTTGCCGCTCTTGCTGGCGGCTTCGCGTCGACTTGCAGCTTTACCGCAGTTGCGTCGGCTTTGCTGGCGCTGCTTCTGCAGTTTGATTCGGCTCGATTTGGTTCGCTTACGCTCAGCACAATATAGCAGCAGCACCGCACATCCACGACGACACCAACTCGCAACGTCGTCCTCTACGGCAGAACGCTGTTTCGGCTGAAACCGCTGCTTGTACGGCCAACTAACCGCGATGGCGTTCCGTGCGGCGGCGGCGGCGGCGTCGGCGGCGACGACGACGACGACGGTAATAGTTGTTACTGCCACTGCAGACTGCTGTGGACAGAATCGCTGCCACTGGCTGAGGGCTGCCCGCTGTTTGTTTGGCCTATCAGCTCCTACTGTTCCAGGCTGGTCGGCTGACGGCACAGGCTGGAGGCGACGGGAAAAATTCAATGCAAAAATCCAATCGCTTGAGACACTGAATAGAAAAAAACGGAACACTGGTACGGTACAGGGCACACAGCACAGTAACACACCACCTACGCAAAACACAATAGCTCGCTGGCTGACCCGAATGGCACCACAGTCGCTCAACTAGATAATTTCTATTTTTTGCTGGCGTTTTCGTCGTCACCCGATTAAGCCACTACAACAAATCAACACCATTGCGGGTTCACTGAAGGATACCAGCGAGCGAGAACCGCCACGGCGGTCGATGACGGGTGTTTCAACTGAACCAAATCAAGCTGTTCCTCCGCCAAAAACTTAGTGATTTGACGATGTATCCAATAGATAGATGTTGATGTTGTGCACAAACGATCACCAGCAATCTTTTTCCCTCGGCTGCTCTAGATACATTGATATCACTGATAGCCGCCGTATTGCTTGTTGCAGTCGCTTCTCGTTGTACGGCTGGCGGATGCGGTACGTCAAGGTGATGTTGTGAGTGGGCTCGTGCAAGGGTCCGCAAAAGACACGGATTTGCACAGCGCTAAACTAACTATGCGACCCTACGACTTCTTGGGCTTCGTTTCGACGAAGCCAATTCGTTCGGCGAGTCTCACCAATTGCCAACAACCATCTGATGATACACGGTACAATAGACATGCAAGCAATGGCTTGTGCAAGCAAATACCGATCGTTTTCTTCATCTAGAACCTCAACCAGCTTCCGTTGCTCGGTTGATTCGCTCAGGATCGCTTGCTTGCTTGCTTGGTCGCTCACTCACTCAGTCAGTCGGTCAGTCAGTCGTCGTTTCTCTTGTGTCTGTGTAGCAAGACGAAAGTGGTCTAAAGCCCAGAAGGCAGACTGCTGCTGTTACTGCTGCTGCTAGTTGTAGCAGCGGTAATAGCTAGCTACTCGCTCATACAGGCAGATCTACGCTCAAGGCGAGCTTCGTCGTCGTCATCGACGATGTTGTGGAGATGGAAGCGGGCGATCCGCCAGATCAGCAAACTTGCCACCGCTATTTAGCTGAGCGCGCCACCGCACAGAGGATCGTGCGCCTAGAGCTTGTGGCTTGTGTTTTTATATATTTTTATATAAATTTGTATAAGCTTACACATTTTATAAATACATATATTTTATCTGTATAACACAGCAGTATGTAATGGAATAGGTTTATATGAGTGTGACAGATTACATAGCAAATAGGAAAAAAAAGTTTTTTTTTTTTGTTTTGAAATAAGAATAATTTTGCGTTCAAGCTTATCCTTTGCTAGCATTTTGTTGTAGTTTAGTAGAGTAGTTTTTAGTCAGTTACCGGTGAGGCGTCTGATCTGAATCGACCCGGACTGTGGGTCACTTGAAATCGGGCGATATTCACAAAGGTCAACGTGGCTCAAATTACTTAGCTCGTCCAAGTTGGACGCTCCGACATTACCCATAAAAAAAATAATTATTCAAATCTACAACTACAAAGGTATGTTGTAAATGTTTGGTATACGTTAATGCTATAATTAATGAGAGTTATATACTTTGCCTTTATTTAAAATTTGGTAATCCAACGTCTTCTTCGTTTAACGAATCAAGAAGTGTGTTGGATGTCACGTTGTTCAACAATTAATTTTCTTGTAAAGGCATTCACGAAACGATATGTTTCACGCATATTCAGGCAATTATTCCGGCCGAAGTAGTGCTTTGGGGCAGTAATATATGTAAAACCCAAGGTATTTTTCCCCAAGCTCCATCCATAAGTTTTGTTGAATCAATAGATTGTTTAAAGCATGAATGCATAACCCACTTGCGTTTGCACATCTCATCGTTGAAAACTATTCTAGAAAAGGCTTAAATCTTTAACTCTTAAGTAAGAATTATAGACTGCCCACTTCTCCATTCGTCAGTGCATTGTCAGTATCTTCCTGTTGTTTAATAACTACTAGCTACAGATGAAGTATAAAATAATTAATTTTTTAATTACCGATACGCCATAGCTGTTATTTACAGTGCGAAACTGTTTTTTTTCGTTTTTGCTTCGTTCTTACTTCTTAAAATTCGTTATGTCTACTGACTTGGCTAGATAAATTACTGAAGGGATTTGGTAGGCCTGACATATTGAAAATATCATATTTAGTTTTACTTTCGATCGAGTCCAATCAATCCACTTAAAACATATCGCTTCTAAATTTACGTGTCTATCGGTTAAAGGCCACCTGGCAACATTCGAAACGCGACACGTCGTGTTTTTCATCACGGTCGAGGGTTCTGTTACTGTCCTATGCAAAACCGTGCGAAACTTCTAACATTGAACTTTAAAGTTTATCTGTGTATTACTAAGCCAGCATTAGTGACCTTTGTGAATTAATCTTGTGTTTGTTCTGGGTAATGACAAAAGTTCTGGCAGTATTTGCTGTACCCACATATGCATAGGTAGAAAATGCATTTCTTATACTTCGCAAATTCAGTTCCACAAAAAACGCAATGTTTAAATGTCGGGGGGGGGGGGCTTTTTCTGGTATCTCAAACCGTGCAAGATTTTTTCGTGACAAATATGTGTAGAGTTAACGTTAAAAATGTGTGATGCTTGCAATATTGTTATAAATGTTTTTACTGTTCAAATATAAATTAAATATTTCTTGTTCTTCTGCGTCCTCAAACTTTTCACTGGCTTTTATATGTATTACTGTGTTTTAGGAAATTATTGAAAAACATTCCGCCTCAACACTTCTAGCCGCTTTACTCAACCCCTGTCCAAAATCACAAAGTCAATCATCCAGCAAAAGTATCCTGCACAAATTTGCTAATAAAAGTCGCTTTTCGATGATCAAAGCCTACCCAAAGGTGGATTTCGAAGCGCTCAACTTAAAACTCAATGTTTTATTGCTTTATTGTTTAAGCTATCAAAGTTTTATTGCTGTGAGACTCACTGGGTGCCTGTTATTGAAATTTATAGAATCGGCGTATTTGTCTGGTTTAGTTGTTTTGGCAAACGATGACAAACACCTTAAGCGACATGGCGACCTCTCCAGGTTGCTGAAAGTTCAAAATCAGATTTTTGTGAGACAGCATTAAAAAATTGTATGTGGACGAACACAGAAAGGCCTCGTAGACAATTCAATATAAATAGACAATATCTTTATCTTCAAATAAATTTTGATTTTTTAAACAAAAAATAAATTAAACTAAATAACATAAACTAGTGACGACGAGACACGCGAACAGCACACCTTTGCGCGAGGCGCACTTCTAATTTGCGCGCCACTTTTTTTGGCCGAAACCAAACGCTTACAAACTCACACAACGATCGCAGCGCCGTCTCGTACATCTCTGTCTTTGTCGATTTGCTGCGAATCGCTGCTCCCTTTCCCTCGTTCACTTTATATCTCAGTTCCCTTCATGCAGCACTGTCGCATGTCTGGCGAAAAGACGACGGCTTGCAGTTGGTCTCAATCGGTTGGTGGCCGTTGTTTTTGGAGTGGGCACACCAATAGGAAAACAAGCGCAAGCACTCAATTGCAGTTCTTAAACCCAAGGAGTGAGCTAGCGAGTGTACGAAACAGTAACAGCAGCGTCGTGGCAAGCGACAGTATCGAAACTGTGTGCGTTAAATTGCTCCTTTCGATCAAGCTCGCTACAACGAATCGTTATCGCGTATTTCCAATAAGTTTGAGACGACGGCAACGCTAGAGACGTAACTCCTTTGCCTGTCCGGTTTTACTTGCGGCCAAAAATTGTTAATCCAGGCGACGGTCTGACGATTGAATTGTGTTCGGTGGTCAGGTCGTAGAAAGTCTAGTTTTTAAGACGGTGTTTTTGGTGTTGGTTATTTTGCTGTTAACCGTAATTACAATAAAGTGTAGTGGCAGTAAGAGTTCTGCTGGGCTGAGGCGGCGACGAATGCTAGCTTTCGACAAAGGCCGAGGGTAGCGTTATTGGGATCGCTGCGGTGCACGTCGCCATAGGTCTGAATGGAACTTTGTATGGCTGGCGGTAGCAGAAGTTCGATTTAGACGCGCAGCTACTGTATAACTGTAAATACGGAGTTGGCTAGCGAGTTGCAGTAACGCAAATAACTAATTGCTTCGTCTTTCCGTTAGCATTGTCCCAGCTGGCTTTCGACCCCGGTCAGCCTTTTGTGGTGTTTGTGTTGTAGTTCGTCTCAGTATCACGTATCAGCTCACGTATCGGACTCTGTCGTACATCAAAGCCAGTTGTGTTACGTCATCGGTTTTTCGTTTGTCAGTATCACAGGAGGATCTTGCTTGCAGTTACAAGTAGTATTGATAAAAAAAGGTGGGTGTATGGTAATTGTGTAACCTTGTGAATAATATTTGGATTTACGGGAGCGTACTAATCAATCCAGAAAATTATACTGTTTGTCTGTGTAGCCGTTTATTATTGTATCTTTCAGGCTGTAGTCCAGCTATAGAAGGCCCTCATTTTTTTATAATCAAATCTGCAAGGCTTTTAGAACAGTTGCTGGCGACGGGTTGTAGCCACAAATGAAAATATGGCAATTATTCTATTTTAAAAATGAACTAATGAGCAAGAAGGTAAGAACTGCCCAATAGCCTACCGGCGCTTGTTCAGCGGCGTTAGTTTCCGAGGCCATGAACAGCCCTAAGCGTCATAAGCACGCTGATTTAAAATAAAGCATGTTTTTTTTGACAAAAAAAGACAGGGTTTCAAATGTCAATTTTATTAGAATATGTCGTATGCGTTTCTAATTATATGTAAACTAATTAGCCTAAAAATTAGTCTAAATGCTTATTTACGAAATTCTGCTTTCGTGAGTAGAATATCATCGAATATTCTACTGCTGGATATGGGACAATTTCAATTTTTTTCCTATAGTATTATAAATCCGATTTAATCATTTAGAGTCAAAGGCGAGAGTCAAAATATTAAAAAAATGCCCGATCATGAACTCTGATCGCTAGGTGTAATGGTAGCGAATGTATTAGATATTTACTTGTGAAATCTGACAAAATACAAAAGCATTCTGATCCGGTATTTTCATCGCACTGGTTTGAAAGCAACGAGGCGAGACTGTTTTGAAAGCGTCTGTCTGCTTCTACTTTATAATATATAATACTGCATACATGTATCTAATATTTGATTTTACATCTCTGTGTACCTTTGAACGTACGAATTTCTGATACTTTTGTGTGTATCATTATATATCATTGAAGAAATCATCAAGATCTCATCGTTGGTCATACATGTATGCAAGAGGCAACTGAAGGAAGTTAAAATACGTATTTTGTGAGTAAAGCAAAGTTTACCGCAGAAAAAGCATCACATGTCTATTGTTCTAGCTTCAGGCCCATCATAACATACGAAGCTGCCAGCTAACAGAATTGATAGATACGACATGAAACATAAGACGGTATTAACACAACGCCGTCTGACGATGTTATGTGATGACAATGTATGCACTACGTCTTGATAGCTTGCGATTTTAGCACGTCACATATTGGTTATCGTCCAAGTGTGAATTAACGCCGGAAAGGTGCGCTTGGCAGAACATGGAGAGTATGTAAATTATTTTTGTAGTGCACTTAGACGCGTTTTTGGCAATTTTAAAATACCCGAATTTAAGGACAGATGAGCTGTAGTATTGTAATACTGACATGTATGATATATTATTTAGTTTTCTCTATTTAAAGTATAAAGCATTTATTCCTTGTGGTAATTACGATCTTTTAAGGAATATTCACATCTTCGCCGAAGTTGCTGATGAATCAGTGTGACAGCTTTCTTATAGTACACACAAATTAATATTAAATGTGAACATTCAGTAATACTGTAGGTTGATAGAAACATGTCGCTGCCGAAATTTGATATGTAGAAAAAGCTTAAAATCCGATAAGCTAATATATCTTAATATTTTGCTCGGACTCTTTGTTATCGGATTTGTTTTAATTATTATTATTTTATATATATATATATATATAATATAATTAATAATTAATTAAAAAATATTATTAATAATAACCCACAATCACTGCAGTGATTCGCTCGCAATATTTGCTCGTATTTTATTATTATGCTTAGTAGAAAATGTAGATTCATATGTTCAAAGATTGCTGAAGTCTCCTTTTAGCACAGAGGTAGATGTGTGTATAATATATTGACTCACTGATCAGAATAAATATTACTAAAGAAGAAGTTTCCCGTATTACTGCTTATTCTCTACTACTAAAACATTTAAAGTTCTAAAGGTTTTAATTACTTAACGCCAGTTGAACCCATTCCGAATCAGTACCCTTGCTCCACGATATTTCGTTGCGTTTGACCTCATATTCTCTGTATCCTTCTCCCTTATCACTCCTCACCTTCTTAAAAAGTCACTCTAATTAGGTGTACCAAATTCTCATTATGATCATCTGTTTTCTGTATTGCAGGCACATACATAAGAATCTTGTAAGGTAGCCGGCGCCTTCCGGAGTTGGGCGCCCGAATTCTTTCCAATTTGTTTTTACAACCAAAGTGCTAAGAGAGCATAAGCTAGTACAGATCTAAACAGAGAATGGCTCTCCCAAAAGGTATTCGAGCCCGTGGTGGCGCAACGAATGGAGCATCTGGAGGCGCCCGAGGCGGCAGCGTTAGAGATGCTCGTGACGTCATTCGGGGCAGGGAACAAAGGCCTCCAAATCGGGGCTCTGGGCTCGGCCCCCGCATTTTGAAAACATCTCAGGGTCTTGTCACAAACAAAAAAGTGAAGGCGATCAGCACAGCCCAACTAAAAAACAGGTAATTAGTTGTTACTGGTTGGTTTTTAGTAGTTGCTGGTTCTAACCTTACAATCGTTGCTTGACGACCATAATTGAGTCAATAATTACTGATTATCCTGAGCCTTATGCATTTTCTTATCTAGTGTAATCTGTTTGTGAAATAGTTAGACCGTTTGAGTGCTGCAATCAGTTCTATTGTCGTTAAGGATTTCTGGCTGGCGACTCTTCCGGTAATCGAAATGAGGGTGTGGGTACGTTTGATTTTAAACATAGTCTACATGGCGTGTCCCTAAGTTCTGTAGTATTACATTATTACGAAAACAATTAGATATTGCCGATGTAGAATATTCACGGCTTTGGGTCGCTCACGAAATCACTATGCATACCTTAAGAGATTGCATATCCTATACAGTGTATGTAATTTCGGCTTTGGGTTCAATTTCTTGTTGTAGACAAACTGCTTCGAAAAAAACAGCAGTCACCCTGACTAATTCAGGCCGGCCTCTCAGTTTGGGTCGGCTTCCCAGCTCGAAAGTTGCCGTCGGCGCAACGATCCGAAAGAGCGCCGTAATCAACAGCAACCCAATGCTACAGGTTAGTAAGGTTAAATTTCCCTAATTTAATAAACCTTTCGTGCTCGTGACTAATCTTGAGGGTTATTGGCTAGCTATATATATATATAAAATCTGTGCGCAGTGTAAGATAAAATCTAAATTCTTCCTCAAGAATCCCTCAAGAGGATGTTTCCCCATGTTTCCTGCGCGCGGATTGCCAGTGGAAATGGGTAAATAATGGATAACAAAATTAATTAGCTATCTGATACGAGTTACGAAAATGAGATAAATTGTTGCCGTGACCGTGTCTATTGCGCCAATATTTTTGGTAGCTCCTCATATATATATATATATCATATATATCTGTTGATAGCCCATTGATTAACAGGATAGTCCGTCATATGACTCAAAGACCGATACCGTGGAATTTGTGGCGGAAATAAGTTCTGTATCAACTTCTCGGCCACATTCTCTATATACACCATTAATTAGTGTTTCAAGGCACAAACCAATTGCTATAACGGTCTGGATGTAATTGTGTGGGTGCGTATTTTTAAATGTTTGCTGTGCAAATGTCTTTTCTCGATTAGGCAAACTGATAATGCTTGGACAGCAGTCCATGTGCCTAAAGTTATTCTTCGAATCAACATCTATCTATTGTTTTATGTGATCTTCACTCGGCGTGAGATTATTGCTATTGTCGTCGTTGTTGCTGTCTTTTTGTTGTTGTTGTTGTTGCTGTGGGCACTGGTGATGTTGGTGCTGGTGAAGGGAGCTGTCGTAACCGGGTTGTCATTGCCTTGTTGTTAGCGTGCCAGAGAACTTCTATCATCATATTTGAGTTATGTACTCTAATTTCTTTTCGTTTGTTGTTTGCGACGCTCTCTTGAGAACATCAAAATTTTGACTTTTATCAATGCAATTGGGGTCTTCTTTCTTGCCATAACTCTGTTTATCGCCATGATATTTAGTGATTGCTGTTACGCAACTAGCTGTTTTGTGGTAACTGACAAACAACAATGCGTATTTCGTTCAAATCAAGCTAAGTCGTTCCAAATCTTGATTTTCTCAAGTGTCCATTCGTGTCGACCAAGGTCAGTTCCGTCTTCGTGTCTCACTCCCGCTGTACATTTTTCTTTTGTTTCTCTGATTTAATCGTCTGTTCTCAATTAGTTTTTCGTTTTTGTTCTTGTTCTTGTTGTTTGCTCTCTTCTATCGCTGTCTCTCTCCCGGGGCGTGTTTCCCGTTCGAACCGTTCATAGAGCGTCCTCTGCGTACTCTTGCCGATGGACTCGAGGACCGTCGGGGACAACAGCATCAGCAACAACAACAACAACAACAGCAGCAGCAGCAACAGCAGCGATCTTACGAATAGCAACGTCTTGTCAGGCAAAAGTTTGCCCCACACGCTTCCGAACGACTTCCAACAACAAAGGCAGGATGTCAACAAAAATAGCGTCGCTGGTCAAATGAACGATCCGCATGTGCATGATGGGAAAGAGGGCGCATTCCGCCAAGAGGAATTCGATCGGATTCGTTTGTCGTTGGAAGATGAGAATTTTGTCGATGGAGAAGTTGATCGGAATTCAGTAGCAGCAGCGGCTGGAGAAACAAAACTTCATCAGCAGGATGAGACTGGCACTGATAAAGGTCAACGAGAGATATTAAGAAAAAAAGAGCTGAACTCAGTTGACGTAATTGAGAAAGCCACTGGAGATTTGAGATCAGCTAATACAAATACAGGGACACCGACCATTGCGGACGACGTTGACCTGCTAGCACAGACTGATGAGAACAGTGAGGTTCATGTCGATAATGAGCAGATTCCAGGTGGGACGCCAGCTTCATCATCAATGCCAGATACCGTGCGCTCTTCTGTACCGAAACGTTTAGGCAACTTGCTATTAAAGAAAGGAGTGAACTTCGATGAAGCTAAAAGCGAGTTTAGCGTTATCGTTGAAGGATATGAGCGTGAAAGCGACTGGGAGGACATTTCATCGGACAATAAAGATTTGGGCTCAGGCCTAGACGACTTCAAGTTACCAAGCACATGTCAAATCCTAAAAGCGCCAAGTGGAAGCACTGTCTACCTGATTGGCACGGCGCATTTCTCTCGGAAGTCTCAAAATGACGTACGACGGGTAATCCGCAGTGTAAAACCTGAACGTGTGGTAGTCGAACTGTGCAAACAACGCATGCATATTCTTACTCTTGACGAAAAGTTGCTCCTTAGCGAAGCTTCGAAGCTGAGCATGACTACGATCCGCGAGACCATCCGCAAGATGGGCATTTTACAGGGCTCAATGTTCCTACTAATGATGCAGCTATCGGCGCACCTCGCAAATAAGCTGGAAATGGCCCCCGGAGGCGAGTTTCGCGTCGCCTATCAGGAAGCTGAGCGTCTGCCCATGTGCCGGGTGTACCTTGCCGATCGCGAGCTTAACATAACACTATGGCGAACTTGGGCCAACCTGGGAGTTTGTCAGCGTATCCGGATCATCTGGAATTTAATCACCAGCACCGAGGACATGACTATTGAGGATGTCGAACGCTGTAAGGAAAAAGACATGCTCGAACAGCTGCTTGGCGAACTGTGCACTGACTACCCAGAGATGTCGAAAGTGATCCTTACCGAACGTGATCACTATTTGTGCCGCTCGCTGTATGATGCGGCGATGGTGCCGCCAACTCCGGTAACTGTTGTGGCCGTAGTCGGTATTGGTCACCAACGAGGTATCATAGAGAATTGGTCGCGAGCGGCAGACATCGACTCGCAGAAGTTACTAGTCGTGCCGCCGGCGCCATTAACAGTTCGTATTACAGGACGGCTGCTCCGAGTGGGCATGTGGGCAGCAGTCGGGTTCACCGTGTACAAACTAATGCCACACGCTCTCAAGGCGTGCTTGGCGCGTGGAATTGAAAAAGGCATAGAGAGAAGTTTTAAAGGAGTGACATATATGCAGAAAACCGTCAGCAATAACGTAACTTTGTAATAATCAGGCTACCAGGGTCTTCAGGGCAGGGCGGAGGTGACCGGGCGAGCGGTTGCAGAAGAAGAACCTGGGACTACCGTCGGTAAATATGTTGGGTCCTATTAGGGTATCTATATCGTTCGGAGGTGTTCCCTCGGGGAAATACTACCGAAGCTGGTATCGTGACCCATAGCACGTGTATGCTCGCGTTTTGGTCGTAGAGCCACCGTTATACGGCATGATGACATTGATCTTTTTCATTCCCAGTCTCCCTGCCTTGTTTGTTATTGAATGGGTTGTTTGTTATTTAACAAAATTACATAGAGATTGAAGCATTTGGTTACAGTGTATTCGGATTATGACCTGTAACGGTAAAGTGGAAGTTTTATGTGTAAACGTGTATGGAATGAATAGAAAGTATTATTCGTCAGTAAGCGATGTTGTCAATCTAAGACACAATAAGTCGGTGAGGTTGTAAACGAACAAAAAGGGAAATCGTTCGCGTCCATTCCTACAAACGTGTCTCGACACGGACCTTCATGGAAACGATCCTTTTATTAACTATCCTGGTGTTAATTGGCACGGTTTGCGACATAGGAACGGATGATTTTCAAATGTCTACTAGTTCTGTCATATCAGCGTTGATATGAGGGCGGCGTTACGCTTTTTTAATAATTATGTGTAGATATACGTATATATTTGCTTGTTTTTGGAAAGCTAATTGTGCTGATGTCCTCGAATCGTCCGTGCGTAGAAACTTGATTCTAACAAAAGAATGAATATTTGGAGGTATACTAAAAAACATCTATACTTATCATCAATGGAAGCATTAATTATTAACAAGATACGATGTAATTTCTCATTATATATAGAATACACATGATGCAAGTTATGTGCGTAGGGTGCTGTCTGAGTTAAAAAGCAATAGTCGGAGGGGTCAGGTAGGGTGGCGTGTTCCGAGTGAGGAATTGTTTGATTTAAGTTTGTCTAAAGGAGAACGAAAGCTAGCGAGCGGCCTAGGTATGAAACGTAAATGTTTGTCAATTGTTAATTTCGGCAGAAGCAGCAAACACGTTATGGTTTACGATATTAAATACGTCTGGATGAAGGCGGGTATTAATATAAATAATGAATGGCTTGTTATTAAAAGTATAAATAAAATTGCTATATTCAGTAAAGAAAAAATTTTCTTTTCTGAACATGCTTCACACCATACCACATCTGTTGTGCAAAGCTATATAGCAGAAACAACGTCTCAGTTACCTATTTCAAGAACAAAATAAGCAGTTTTTGTTCTTAGTGAAAGTGGATTTAGTGAATTTGGTAAAAGGGTGTTCCTGTCAACTGGCTATTTTTTAAAACGAAGGTCTCGGGACGACAAATTAAGTTATTATATATAAGGCTTCAGATATAACCGAGGTGACATTAAACACCACTATAAAGCTGTCTTTTCCACGGGCAGCGTAATGATTCACGGAGTGCGTCCGTGAATCACTACACTTACCGTAGATTAAGAACTCTGGGGTGTAGCTTTGAGAAGTTTCTTTCAATGTCTGAGAGAATGCTATTTAGTGATTTGGCTTGCAATGAAGAGTACTAGAGCGCTTCCTTGTCTCTTCGTCAATGCTAAGATTTCTGTGGAGAAGGTCTGAGGATACTTTACATAATAACATCAATCTAATCAAAAATAATGGCATACCGCTTTTGAATACAGCCCATATTGAGGATAACTTGCGGAAACGTCTATTCAACTTAGTCATAAAAAAATTCGTCGATATATCTCTAATCGTCTGTTGTGTGTTGTTGTTTTATGTGATCGCCTTATTGTCGTTGCCACTACAGAATGCCATCTTGGATATCGCCGGCGCACTAGCCAAACAGAGGCGTCAAACGGCTCAACCCATCAAGCGACCGCAGTTCACCAAGGTAAACACAGGGAACAATATGAATCAGAGAATAATAATTAAAACGCACAATAACAATAAAGCGAACCTATTTTGCTTCGAGGAAATATTAGATTACGCTAAAGTATGCTAATATACTTCATGAGATATTTTCAAATGGTTAACACCAATTTTGAAGGACTTGGCCAAATAGTAATAAACAACACGTATTACTGGATCTTGTTGCAGTCGGTTCGCCCGACGCGAGCCGTCAACCGTGACGCCGACGTGATGGACGTGGACATGGATCATCGAGGATCTGTCCGGGATCGTTCTGATCATCGTTTGGACCGAAACAGCGCTTTGGTGTCAACCCTCTCAAGATCGCTGGCGGATATTCCGCGCGCAGCCCCTCGGGCATTTGCTCCGGAACGCGCTTCATTATCGGACCGAATGCGGGGCCGTCTAGACCAAAGACAAGACCCTCCTTGCAGTGTGCTCGTGTCCAACCTTCACCCAAACGTGTCCGATAGCGATATAAACGTGAGTATTGTCATGAGAGTAATTTCAGAAGTCCGCGGCGTCTACGTCCTTTTTTTTTAATTTCACGCTCGAAAAGAATAGAGGATAGTAACTTGTTCAAGCAAATACAGAAAAATGCATTATTGTAACAGAATAATAATGCTAGTTAGATATTGAAGACCGCCTGATCTGTGAAGTCTAAACTCGGGGATATAACAATATCAGTAGTAATAAGAATAATAATACGAAAATCATCTTGATGGTTGATGGAGTCCTTACGGTTCAGATACAGAATTTCTTGAAAAGATGAGTCGATATTACGCAGCATTTTATATACTACCTTCTGCTTTATTTGGTAAATTACTAAGCGTATCAAATATAATTTGGTAATTATCGCCTTTGTAAATAGCAACTAGAAAAAAAAACAGCAAGAAACAGCTTAGACCAAGGATAGAAATAATCTTATTGTGTATGCACCTATAACTTACGTTGGCATTGTCATTTCAGGAACTGTTCCGGACAATTGGCCCAATCGTCACCTCAATGTTTCTGTCACCCGGTACCGCTCTCGTGTCCTACCACCGCAAAAACGACGCCGTCAAAGCCGTCGAAACGTATCACCTTCGTCTGCTCGACGGCCAGCCGATGACTTGTGTCCTTCTATCACAAGACATGGTGCCGGAAAAGCATCAGCCTTCGATTCCCGGCAGCGGTTCGAACGCCGCAGGAGGTGTGGCTGTTGGACGCCGCTAACGAAGCTAAAGGCTGAACACATCATTCACCAACTAGCAGCTACAATATTGATTTGGTGGATGATTTTTGAACCGCGCTATTTCCTACAACATTAAAATAGTCTCCCTATTACTACAACTTACCGTACACATTGAACGACCTTGTCCAAAGAGTACTTGTCGGAAAGGTGTGTTATTTGTTGGAACGAGATCGGCTTACTCCTCTGTCAATGGCGTCAGTAGCGCCGCTCGAGAATAACAGGTTCATAAATTGGCGGCAAGATATTATACAAAATGTATGAGCACCAGATGAAGAAATGATTAGAAACGGCTCGTTTTTAAACAACGGTAGACAGTGGCAGACGTATGCAAGCGGGTCATTACGTAAACGATTATCCACACACATCTACGTAGAGAGAGATTTCGAAGGAGGCCTAATATAATCGTTAGGAAGACAAATAAACGCTTTATGCCCATGAAACTCTGAAGCCAACAATTGATGCAAAAAAAATCATATAATAAGTTAGCCGTTTCTGCGTAGCGGCATTAGATAGACAATAGAAGGCGAATATTTATGCGTCTTCTGGAAAAGGGACCCCTGCTCATCGGTGCGTCGCGTCGAAGTAAAGTCTCAGAAGAAAACTGTAGTGTGAACAGAAGTTCGGAAAAAAATTCGCAGAGCCGGCGAGAAGGATAATACAATCTATAACTTCTTTGCCGAACTAATGAAATAGCCCTATTACTGAATATACGAGAAACGCGTGAAGATGACCAATACAGAAGTGGAATAACAAGACTCAATTTAAGAAACAAATTATTGTAAATCCTAGGACAACGAAGGCCAAAATAATTTGGCTTGAAGCGTGTGATGACATCCAAAGCATCAAAATTAATTATCATGATGCAGCGTGAAGCGTAAGGAATCCAGTAAATACCTTCTTGTGAGGTAAGTTTATTTTCATCTGTTGTGAAGTGTGATATAACTGAAAGATAGAAGTATAAAAAAAAAAAATATATATATATATATATATATATAGAAATTGACGAGAATTTAAAAACAGGCGAGGTTCTTTAAAATTTCATTTGGTTCAATTTTTGAGATTCGTTCATATGGTTGTATATCCAAATGTTGTTACGGCAGACGCTCTTTAGTTTCGCTTAGTTTTTTCTGGTAACTTTATTAAATTATCATTACTGATAAACTTTCCATTTGTTCGGAATTTCTATGGGAACTATAGAAAATTCCTAATGTTCTGCTGCACTTATGTTTCAGGTATCACTGACCTTTGCGCTTGAAAAATAAGCAGAAATAAGAGAAACGACCCAACTTATAGTTTTTGTTAAAATAAACCACGTCACGGACAACCGGTCTGATGATGGTGGTGGCCGTCGAAAGCCGAAGAACGCTTATTCACATTAACGTGCTAGCACACTGTAGCCAACATCGACCATGAAGGTGTGGTCAGCGAAAATGCCAACGATACTAATCAGGCCAAATGCCCTACGTGAAAGGGCTTCCTAAAATGGCTATTTTGAGTTTCTGCCCTATGGAAAGGATAAGAACTCAAAACGGCGTGACTCACCCTAGTGAAAACGAACTCCTGGGGATCGGTAACCCGGGGTTTGTTAAACAAATACGTATATATATATATATACATATATATATATATACATATATATATATATATACACCAAGGAAAGACCCTATGGTAAAAGGTGTCTACGAATTCGCTGCGCTCCAACATCTCACTAGCGGCTATTTGAAAGTCGAGTTAAACAATGATACCAAATGTATGTGCCCAAACCTGTGAGGCTTGCTTTAAAGCAGATCGATTGTGAACTCGACTGCGGGAAAAAAGCAGCTCGCAAAGGAAACACAAACAAAAACAAACTGAACGCCCACAGAAAAACGGACAATAAGCAAGCACAATGTGTCTTTTGGTCTAGCGGCTGCGCATCGAACCCTTTCAGTTTTGGTAAGTGGCCCCGGGAATGCCTTTCTCAATAATAAGTATTCTAACGATTAACAAATTATACTACATCAACGAGGTAGTAGTTACTTAAGACGATATTATTATTGTACTTTAGGTAGTTAAAAGAAGCAGTTTAGCGGTGCTGTATTGAAGCAAATCAGCATCTAATCTAATTTTCAGTGTATGATTACAATTGTTACTCTTATTGTCGATAGACTTGAAGCGCTTGTCATTTGTTTAAATACATTTAAATATATATATAT